GTCTTTAAAAGTCCTTAAAAGCATTGCATTTAGGATCTTAAAAAGGGCTCCATCAGGTTTATTTGGTTTGCATTTAATGACTGTATTATTAGGTAGGATTTATTGTCATGCTCTGTTGGAAAGTGCTGAAAATGTGATAGAAACATAGCTAATAATAATAAATGCTAATAATTTGACATGTAGGAATACAAAGGACATTATTGCCTTTAAGTCTAGAATTTAATTTAATGAACCCTTTACAAACCCTGGAAGAATTTTAAGACTTCCATCTGTAATTTCTAATACTATCTGGCATGCTTGTCATCAAGTAGAAAATTAAAAAATTGTTTTCATTCTGCAGGCGAATCTGTTGACATCAGTGACGGCGACACAGAGAGCATGGCGTTGACGGAGTCTTCAGGCCAAACACTCAGAGAGAAGATGGTTTACATGTCTGTCGGGGACTCTCATCACAATCAAGGAAACCACGGTGAGTCCTGTGGAGCCAGCGAGCAGGGATAGCTGTCATGAAACTGAACGTCACTAGTTTTTTGGTTTTGTACATGTTGGGCTCATCTACAGGTGGGTCCAAGGTGACTGATGAGGTTTATATGGAGGTGGTGGTAGGAGGCGAAGAGCCAGTAACTCACGACCGCTCGTATGACAGCGTGTCTCTAAGCAAGGACTTCATGCCTGTGGCCTGGGCAGCTGCTTATGGTCAGCACCCTTGTCTATTAAATTGCTTTTGAAACAACACTGGAAGCCTGTGCATCAACCACGTCTCTGAGTGTCTTGGCTTTAGCTTTGCACACGCTGGTCCGGTTGGTTTTAGTGCTAAAGGCATTCTGTTGCTCTTCCAGGTGCAGAGGACAGCGAGAGTTGTGAAAACCGAAACGGTGCTGCCTCGGCGCTGCTGCACATCGACGAGTCGGACGGGGTTGATGAAATCAATAGACAGCGCAGCAAGAACAAGAGACGGTCAGAGCCTCGACAGGTCCAGACAGGTAAGGACAACACAAAAAAAGATCAAACCTGCCTCCCCAGGGCAGCTTTGAATGCAAACAATAAATGCCCTTTGTCTTTTCACTGTGTAAAGAAACCTTTAGGTGCAACAGTGGTGCAGTCTAGAGCTTAACAATAGCAGAAAGGTTGCATTCATGATGAAACCTGCAACTGCGTCATTTTCATCATAAGTTATACATTTTTATTTAATGGATTAACACTAAATCCACAAAAAATAGGACCAAAACCCAACATGATTTTAAGTTTGAAGTCTAACCTGCAGGCAAAACCCTCAACTGATTCCATTTAAATGTATAGAAAAAAATGTACATTTGTACCTGAGCAGTGTTGGTTTGTGTGTAGCTACACCGGAGACATCGCTCCCTTGTGTGTGTGAACATACTTTGGAAAATAGAGTTGAAATCACTTTGATTAGTTATTACAGTTTACTGGACTATTTTTTTTTTTTGTTTTTATTTCCTTCTCCTGCGATGGTCCTCAACTAGTTTATCCTGGGGATTAGGGCTGAACGACGAAAAGCATTTAATCACAATTTTCCTGACAGATATTGCGATTGCAGTTTGAAATTGATTTATTGTTCACCGCTACTGTTGATCAAACTAAATGATGTTTTGAAGATGGATCCCTGTGTTTTACTGTCAGTTATGAAATCAAGCAAAAACTATCAGCCCTACTTGTTTCAGGTAGTCTTTTAGCAAGAATATGTATAGGCACAGCCAGTCAATCTGTTTCTCTTTGATTTGTGTCTGTAGTCTAACTGCAACTCACAATTGTGTCCTTTACACAGGCTCATCAGCAGTTTATTGTACCCTAAGTTGTAGTTTGCAAAATGACAACATTAGAACTGATTGATGAATTTTAACAAAGCAACCACAAAGATGGGATTTATTAAACCAAACCTTTTTATAATTGAAGTAAAATACATTTGCTTCAAGGCTTAAAACCTTCTGCACTTCAATTCATTTTCTGTTGCTACACTGAACTAAATCTTCCTAATAATTGTTATAATTTCACAATGTTTCACCAGTATTCTTCCATTTTACTGAAATTGTTCATCATTGTTTGTGAATAATGGAAAATAAAATGACAAAGTTACTGTTGACTTGACAAAACAAAAGACGACCCTGTAGTTATTTCCTTTCCCTTCTTTTCATTTTTGTCTCCAGCCATCATCATCGGTCCGTACGGTCAGCCGCTGACTGTTTACCCCTGCATGCTTTGTGGTAAAAAGTTCAAGTCGCGAGGCTTCCTGAAGCGCCACACTAAGAATCATCACCAGGATGTTCTGACCAGGAAAAAATACCAATGTACAGACTGTGAGTTCACCACCAACAAGAAAGCCAGCCTCCACAACCACATGGAGGTCCACGCTCTGAGCAGCAAGGCCCCGTTCGAGTGTGAAATGTGTGGCAAGGAGTTCCACCAGCAGGCGGCGCTGTTCTCTCACAGACTGCAGCATCACCACCGGGAGCCCAAGAGCCAGCCGCCTCCACCGCCCACCAAGATGCATAAATGCAAGTTCTGTGACTATGAAACTGCTGAGCAAGGACTGCTCAATCGACACTTGTTGGCTGTTCACAGTAAAAGCTTCCCCCACATCTGTGTGGAATGTGGAAAAGGCTTTCGACATCCCTCAGAGTTGAAGAAACACATGCGCACACACACTGGCGAGAAGCCTTACTCCTGCCTGTACTGCGACTACAAGTCGGCCGATTCCTCTAATCTCAAAACGCACATCAAGACTAAGCATAGCAAAGAGATGCCATACAAATGTGAGCGCTGTTTCCAGACCTTTGCAGAGGAGGAAGAGTTAATGCAGCACGGACTAACACACGAGGAGAATAAGACCCACCATTGTGCCCACTGTGATCACAAAAGTTCCAACTCCAGTGACCTGAAACGCCATATCATATCTGTTCATACCAAGGACTATCCACACAAATGCGCCGTCTGTGGGAAAGGCTTCCACCGGCCATCTGAACTAAAGAAGCACTCGGTATCCCACCGCACCAAGAAACTCCATCAGTGCCGGCACTGCAACTTTAAAATTGCAGACCCTTTTGTTCTCAGTCGCCACATCTTATCTGTCCACACAAAGGAGCAGCAGGCCTCACCTGAAAAGAGTGAGCCTAAGAGGACAGAGACACACACTCCCGTTGCGACACCTAAAAAGTCTGCACCGAGTGGGTCGAGCAGCTCCGGTCCGCCTGCCAGAGTCAGTGCAGCCAGCTTAGCCAGCAGTGTGACTGTAGTTATTGGCAAAGGACAAAAAGAAAGGAGAATCTACCAGTGCCAGTACTGCGACTACAGCACCGGGGACGCGTCGGGTTTCAAGCGACACGTGATTTCCATTCACACAAAAGACTATCCACACCGCTGCGAGATCTGTTCGAAAGGCTTCCGGCGACCATCGGAGAAGAACCAGCATATCATGCGCCACCACAAGGACGTGGTGCAGGCAGAGTGACTCTGACCGAGCCAAATACTGTGCCACCACAAAGAACAATGTTGAAGCATCCATCACACCCCAATCACTGCACCCTCAGCGCAACACCGTTCACATTAAAACAATGTGGTGTGTGCTGCACTTAGTCCATTCTGTTGTTTTGCTCTTTATGATCCTCAGCCTAATGTTTGTTCAGAAATGTAAACACATGTACATAACATTAACGCTCTGCCAGAGTTAGCAAACCGAGCCCCCCTCCGTAGACTTGCACTTTTAACTGCATGTCCCTTGCTGGTGACAGTGTGCATGGCAGATTGTGCAGACGTCTCTTTGTAGATACACATTTTCCTTTTTTTAAAAATTTTGCAGGTAGCAATCAGTTCTCAATCATGATGGTCCTAATTATTTGTCTTAAAGCTGAAGTGTAATTTTCAAAATGTTTGCGTCATTTTGTTAAGATGTACTTAACACAGCAGTGTGGATTAGCAACCTGTTCCCAGTAGCACTTGGTCAAATCTCGTGTGCGAGCGTGTTGCGTGCGTGAGAGAGCGAGTGAGAGGGAATGTGAGGGACAAAAAAAAGCAACTGTTGTGCTTCCTGGTGCTCTGACCCCCACCACTCTGTAACATAATGCTTTTTGTTGTGTTAAAAAAAAAAAAACAAACAAACAAACACAATGCCGGCTGTGTGCAGAGAAAAGAAGCAGTTACACGTATGCACATAGATCGTGATGCGATCATTACCACATCGCTTGGTTATCACATGTCCAATATTTCTGTTTGAAGTCGGTAAGTGTACTGTAAGTTTGTCAGAGTAAGTGCCCAAAAAGAGCAGAGATGAAGCCCTGACTGACAGTATTTAATTCATTAATGCTACCTGGGGAGTGAGAATCCCAATAATTTGAAACAGCAGCTTTTGTGTGTGATGAGGACAACGTTGCCTCCTTATGTACGTTTTTTAACATTTAACCATGACGAGCTGTTCATACCGATGTGTTTTCTTTTTGTTTTTTGTTTTTTTACATCTATGAATTGACATATCTGTTAAATCAAAGAAAAAAAAGCATCATCTACAAGCACCAGTATGATACCAATATTAGGCTGGGATAAAATAATACAAACTTCACATCAGTGTCCCAATATAACTGTCTCGTCTAAATGGGAATCGAACAGTATATCCGGTGCTGCTGTTTTGAAACTATGGATTAAACACTTTTTGTTTTCGCCAACACAGATGTACTTTTGCCAGTAGAAAGGGAAAACGTATATCTTTTTAGATGCAACTTCAGAAGACAGGTGCTGGTGGTGTACATGTACTTTGGCTTTTTACATTTTTTGTTATCACCTGTGATTATTTCTGTTTTTATATTTATTTCATTTACAAGTTGTTGTATAGGTAAGTGTAACTAGACTTCTATGGGACGTAAATTATTGTTTTGTATACAAATCTGTACAAAGCGTGTAGATGTAAACACTTGATAAAAAGGAAAATCTCAACTGTGTTGTTATGGATGTACTTCAACGTATTTGTTAAAAAAGATAATAAAGCAAAGTATTTTAGCCGTTTTGTTTTATTTGCCAAGATGGCGCTCGGTTACAGCAAAGTCTTGAAACCTGGCTTTACATCATGTTTTCTGGCATTAAGAGTTTTCCTTAACATTTGAGAAAGCAGAACGAATGAACTGTTTCAGTTTGTAGCGGCGATGTTGGAAAAGATGTAGAAGTTTCACCACAAATGTCAAGGTCCTCAGAAAACATCGCTGGCATGATGGCGGGACATTATTCAGCAGGGCACTCGGCTAAAGAAGGAAAAACAGAAGCTGATTAGTTACTAACATCGCTCATAATCTCTGGTTGTTTTGTTTATGACACTGGATATAAAAAGTACCGTTTTTAGGAAGGAAAGCAATGTTGTCAGGCAGGATGTCGGTGTCCAAAGAGAACTGCCTGAACTTCTCCATCAGCTCAGGGCTGAGGTCCACTGCACGTCCTGTGAAAGCACATATTAATCTGCTACAGTTTGCGTAACAATACTGCAATCGATTGGATGGAGTCTTGCATTATGGCTAGATGTGACTGTACCGTATAGTTTGTTGACAACGGTGGCATCATCCCCCTTGGTCTTGATGGTCTGAGTCAGAGCGTACTCGTCGTACTTCACGTCAACCACGCGCATGTCGTTCTTGTTCCCCCAGCCTGACAGAGGGACGAGGGCAGAACGGATGAATTGAAAGCAGAAATACGGGTTAAATTGTGCATTTGGTTTGTATGTTGTGCGCTTACGTTGACTTGTGTATGTGAACTTTCCGGGCACCTTGGTCTTGGTGGCCAGATTGTTCATCCTCCAACAGGAGCCATCAGAGCTGCATCGAAACAGAATTAGTTCATCTCCTTTTTTAAAAAAAAGTATTTTATTCAGGCTAAATCATTGTCACTCCCTCTCTGTTCTCTTGGACTCACTTGAGACTGGAGTATGATATCTCCATGTCCCCGTCAGCAGTTGGGGTGAGAATGGCCATGCCCATCTTCATGCTGCCTTTGCGAGTGACAAACCACTGGGCGTTAGTGGCAAATCCAATCAGGTACCACTTTCCTGCCATCTGTGGGTACACACAAGAAACAACACAAGTTATACAAAAACACAATATAGGTTTACTGACACACACACATAACAAAAAATGTGAGAAGAAGACTTTGGGGAGAATAAATAATTGAGCTTTTTAGATGAATTAATGCATATTAATTATTATATTATTGCATTTTGTTCATTTTGAGAGCTCGAGGGGCATCCAGGTGCATGTAACTTTTAATCTATTACCTACATCTGTGACCGAATAAAGTTTTATTTTGCTGCCAAATAATAATAATAATTATGTATGTTGTGTGTCTTGTGCTTCAGTACTGGATTATAGCAGCAAAAATCCACTAAAATACACTTACATTAAATTCCACTTAATAGATTTTCTGAAATGTGTTGAGCTATCTAATTTCCTGAGGAAGCAATTTCAGCCTATTTTCCATGTTTGTAGTCAATGCAGAAATCATCTATACGACTTTTTTTTTTAAATGCAATGAATAAAAAATCCATCTTTAAAAAATGATGTATTTCATATATTACATATACTCATTATAAGCAAAATTAATAGAATTGACAAATGATGCTCAAACTGCAGTAAAAACAATCTGAGCAATTAAATAAAAATAAATACAGCTACCCTGACTCTATACAGTGACTAAAATATGAATTATTAGACGTTTCACCCTGTCGCGTCTCTTACCGCCTGTAAATTGAAGTCTGCTGGAGGAATGACTTCGGAAGAAACCGCCAGGGAGCAGAGCACAGCTCCCAGCAGGGTCAGCAGTGAAGTCATCGCCACTGAGGAGCACAGTCGGGTGCAGAAAAAAAGGAAGAAAAACGTAGATGAAGATCTGAAAATGTGTTGTAGAAGTTCTGCCTGACGACCCTTTATATAGCGGAGAGCGGGACTACCTTTCCCCTCCCACACAAATCCCCAGAACTGGGATGAGTTCAAACACGTGAAGCTTCACACAAACACATGCACAGTTCCACAGCCACAAGGTTGAACCCTGCCAGCGCAGAATTCAATCAACCGTGACAGTAGGCAGGAGAAACATGCAAAGAAACAGCATGACCTGAATAACAAGTGAGCACAGATTATGTCCCGTCCGTCACAAAGTTAGACTTGGAGCACGGATAATGTGTTCTCATAGAAATGATGGCGTAATTTCATTTTGCAGCTTCCTGTTTTTGAGCATAAGCTTTGAAAACAACAACAGTGTCCAAAATTGGTAAACAAGGCAGCGGCTGGCCTCCAGTGCTTTCTGTGGCAGGCACTACAGAATCAAATTCAACCGTCAGCAGTTGCAGCAGTAAAGCACAGACACAACACAAATGCCCCTGCAAGTTGGATTCCTAATCGTACCTCACTGTGGGATGAATGGGAAACTATAGCATCTCTTCTATGGGTTTAATGTCTGTAAATAATTGTCTCAAACGTACACAAACTACCTTCATGAATGGAAACAGCGTATATAAGAGAACTGTTTTGCTCTTTATTCTAAAGTTGACCTGTAAACAGTCTCACCTCTAGCTGCTGTTCTGCAGCATTTGATTATATCACAGGATCATCAGCAGCACAACAGGTCACTCATCTAACAGAGGAATGGAAATTGAGAGTTGTTTTATTTCATCTGCTCATGAAAATGGTGTTACATGATCAAAAGCACCAGAACAGCCATTAAACGAACCTTAAAGAGTGAATATTTCACCAGCTGCTGTTTCCAATGCCAAGAATGAACTTTGAAACTCAGCCGTTAAGCCGATATGGACAAAAACTCCTGAAGTTTATGCAGAACTTTCAATAACTTCTTTATCATGACAACAGGACAACGTTTCCCTGCTGATGAAGAACGCGTGAAAAACAATGTAACAGCAAGAAAATCAATTTATGTTTTTAAAGGCCATTTCTATGCTCCAGACGTTGGCTTTCTAAGTTGAATAGAGAAGCTGATTAGAATGTCCTCACACCAGAACACTACTGGTGCCACACTCAAAGGACTGAAATCCCACTATTTCTATATTGTGTAACTAGGAGTTAATACTGTACATCTGATTACAGATGTACAGTATTAACTGTAGCAACATTACCGCTGCACTAGTGCTGCATTAAACATGTATAAATAAAGCTGTGTACCTGTAGTGGAAAGTGCTAAATACAGTTTTTTTTATAGGTTTTTGTACTTTATTTCAGTAATGTCTCTGATGTAATTTAACACTAAAGCAAATCCAGTCGCCTTTATTTTTGCACTTAGATGTACTTTTTACTTCATTGGACTTGAGCTTTAAAGCTTTAGTTACTGGAGATGTTGTGATAAACTGGTTTTAAGCAATAACTGAAAAAAAAAGAAATATTCATATGATATTAATCCAAATATGATAACACCATAAATAATTCAGCATCAGTACCTTTCTACTTGACTCTCCAGCATATGAACAACATACGATACAGGTATGGTTAAAGACTCTCTCTCAATCCTTCTACACTCATATTTGAATGTAAAAAATAGCACTATAAACAAAGTGAAAATAAATTAAACATAACATTATTTTTTTTCCTTTCTATTGATTTTGCAGTCTCTTTACTATTGAATTCTCTTTGTCACAAAAATCGTGAAGTGAAAATCTGACATCATGACAGCTCTTGTTACTATTTTGCACATTCAGGTGATAGATTCTTATAGATTATAGCAGATTATTATTATACGTAAAAACTACCTAGCAGTATGTAAAATATTAAAAACTAGCTTCGTCTTTATGAGCTGCTACATTAATGTGATGCGTACATCAGTATAGTGGTATTAATTTAATATACTGTATATTCAGCACAAAAACGTAATATACATTATTCTGAAATGAGCTGTCCTGCATATTGAACACTTGCACTTTTGTTTTTTTTAAGCATTAAAGTAAAATAAAGCACCATTGATTCAATGCAGTATTTCTACAATTTAGTATTTTTCCACCTCGGCACAAAGGGAGCTTGTACAGTTCACTTTCTGCAAGATCTTTTCTGCACCGCACAAATTCAAACATAACTATAGGAGTACTGATTAGGAGCCCAATTGTGTAATGTGTTGGAAATAGGACACTGCAGTCAGGTTCAGGCAGATACAGATCACAATATAAAGACTCCTCCAGCATACATACTTTACCAGTTTAGACAGGTGGGCTTTTAGCCCCGAGGAAACCAAAAAGTAAAATAATGTGCCAGAAAAGTATTTCTTTTTCACATTTTCTAAGGTCATAGTTGTGCAAACGCCCCAGAAGTCTCCTTTATAGTAATCTGTGAATTGCCACTCCTGTATATAGCAACAAGTCACAACATTAAAACCTTTTGTGTGTGCCACCCATGTCATGTTCCTCAAATGATTCCTGAATAGTCTTTGCAGTGTCGCACGAAACGTTATCCTGCTGACAGAGGCCACTGCAATCAGGGAACACGGTTGCTATGAAGGGGTGTAGATGTCTGCAACAATGTTTAGATAGGTGGTACGTGTCAAGATAACATGAATGTCAGCACACAAAGTTTCCCAGCAGAACATTGCCTTAAGGTTTTCAGCAGTTTGTGCTACAGTAGCTCTTCTGTTTAATCAGATGTCATGGTTCAACTTCTTACTCCCCGCGCACATTAATGAGCCTTGTGCACCCATGACCCTGTTGCCAGTTTCCCTGGTTGTCCTTCCTTGGAGCACTTTTGGTAGATACCAACCACGGCATAGCAGGAACACCCAACAAGACCTGCCTCACTGCAATCGAGGACTGGATGGCACCTAACTTCCTTCGACTAAGTCTTGAAGTCCCAATCACATTTTACAGAGTGTCACCCTCCAACTTCAGACCACTTCCACCAACATAAGGCAAGGCAGATTTAATTGTATCGCACAATTCAAAGTGGTTCACACAAAACTATAAGAAGACAGAACACATGCAGCAAGAACCTTGGGAGGCGTCTTCGATCGCAGCCTCAACTTTTAACAGCACATCAAGACTCTGGTCCAATGATGCCACATACAACTTAGAAATATTGCAAAGATTAAACCAATTCTCCCCAGAAACGTAACTATGCAGCTGATACACACCCTCACTTCCTCAAGCCTGGACAACTAAAACTCTTAATTCACCTGCCTCAACAACTCAACAATCACATGGCTGCAGTTGGTTTAAAACACAGCAGGGAGACTTCTGACAAACACATAAGGAACACATAACCCCCGTCCTGACACAATTTTCATTTGAAGACGATGATTGATGATGCCCATTTTTTTTTTTTGTCCTTCAAGAACTGTCTGTTCACTCGCTGCCTAATTTATCCCAACACTTTACACCACTGTAACAAGAAAATCAACTTTACTCACCTGACAGTGCTTTTAATATGGTGACTGACTGGTGTATTGCAGAAGCGAAAGCTAAGAATGAACAGCAAAGATTCTCACAATGTTTACAGCTCTGGTTGGGTGAAAATGAACTCATGCCGTGTTGGCAAAACGTGAAAAGTGTCTCTTTCTGCTGCTCTTCCACCTTAGGAGTGCTCACGCATTATTAAAATACTCTTACTGCCGGTCTTATTGTCGCACCATAAGAGGAGCCCAAATAAACAATTGTGTTACGTATTTGTAACAGTTAGTGACCAAGTGAATCCAGACACCAACAACTGAACGGAACATTTTATTTAGTTTGACTATAACTGCTAGCAATGATGACTTGTTTGCCATTTTTCTGCCAATTTAGAATTAATTTCGTAGTTCTTTTCACCAAGTGGGGCATATTCAGAGATTCCTATTGTTGCAAACTTTGACTTAGATAAACTTTATTGATCCACAATTAAACTGTTTCTTTATGTAAACAGTTAGCTCAGCATCCAGAAACAGAAATACATGAATTGTCATTTTACTGACTGTATAATTTATTAGCAATCCATTGACCAAAGCAGACCCAGTGTCATGGTCAATCCATGCCAGTTTTTTCCCTTTTCATTGTGTTTTCCTTCTGTTTCCTGTATTTGTCTCTCTTTCTTTAACATGTGACTTAGATGATCTGATCACAAGTGCAGATATTAATTCACCCAGGATGCACTCACTCAGATCTCATTCCGAGTCACTTCTGGCCACATTCTTTCAGCAGTTTGAGCACAAATGTGTCCTGGGCCAAACTGAAGGACCACCTACTCAACTGACATGCTTCCCACCAGAGAAAAACAACAATGCATTTGGCAGAGTCCTGGAGTGGGCCTTGTACCAGCAGCTACTATTAAGCATTCGTTTTGCAGAAGCTTGGAGTAAAAATAGAGCACTTTAAAGACACACACTGGTGAACATCGAGCCACATGGTGCTAGAAGACATATCATGAGCAAAATTAGCAGCGATAACCTCCTCTTTAACAGACCTCTGGAGTTTCATAAATACACTAGTAATGCGAATTGACATCATGTTGTGCAGAGTAGTTTCACAGAGCAACGTCATAGATTAGCTGGTGTGCTAGAGCTGCAGTGAATGGGGAGAGAGAGGCAATAACTTCTTCTGCACATTGTAAAGGAGCCGGTGTAGAGGTACGGCTGTTTTAAGGCAGGAAGGGAACATTTTTGTGGAAAAAATGATTTCCAAATATGTAGCAGTGATACACAGAAATGAGACTTTAGGGGTTTAAATAATAAATGGCTTTGAGAGGAAAATTAGTGTGTAGCCAATGAGCTTGATCATGGGTCAGGTCATGGCACTTATTATAACAGGTCATGTCTGGACTTGGAGACAAATGTAGGTAACAGGTTGGTTCCAATGTGGAGCTGCTCTGTGGATGCCGGTTTGTTAAAGTATAGACCTGTGCAAGACTCTGGCCTTTGGTCTTTGCAAACAGAAACTATACAAGTGTTTATTTGAATATACAGCAGGCAAGTGAGAAATAATCCAAAGTGGTCACTCATGATGCATCTGTAGACGCATTCCGGTACCAGATGTACAAGACACATGTTAATGCAATATTTGTTTGAATGTTTACGTGTGCTTGTAGACATTACACTCCAAGTCATCTGCTCCTCATCATCCCATCAACATCCAGTACCTATATTCTCCTGTCATTCACCACCAGTCCTTTGCTCAGCTCTGTGTCTCCTTCAAGTAACCCAGTCTCTCCCGTCCTTTAGTTTCCTCTCCTCCTCCTCCTCCAGCCTGCCTGCCTGCCTGCTGCCCAGCTTCAATCTGCTCCGCTTCACCAGCCGTGCCAACTCTCCCTGCCTGCCACTCCAATCTGCAGCTCTGTCTGCTTCTCTGTCAACCATGCAGCCACACTTCCTCCATCATCTGTATTCTCCTCCAGTCGCTCAGCCTTAACCCCTCACCCACTCTATTATCAAGTCTGAATCTTCGTTTGGGTCTCAGGAAACAAACCCAAAGAATCTACTGAACTCAATTTATTTGGGTGGATTTCACCATGTGTTTTCAGTAAAGAGTGCATTTACCATCTATCTATAGCTAACGTCTACCTTGTAGCACAACTAATAACTTAGAAAATAGTCAGTAATATTAACTCTTGATTGAAAGGTCGTAGTATTTAGTAGGGAAATATCCATACCAGTGTTGAGCAACTGTTACAAGTAATTTTGCTTTAAGTGGTGAGCTGCCCTTAATAGAAATCAGAAAACATTCTGACTTTTCCTTTACAACTCCTGTTTTGACGACTCCCAGATGACAGCAGTAAACATATTTTTTTGGAGTAACATCAATCCTCTGCCCTCATGGTTTGTCCAGTCCAGTTTTGCTAATCTAACATGAAGGTAAATAAAACACAAAATGAGCAACTGAACTCCAAACATAATGGAACAACTACAGGGCAATCCAGCATTTTTCACATGCTGACTGAAATTTAAGTGTTTTGTATTGATTGTATTTACTGCTTCCACAAAATCCTGTTTCCCAGTGGAGCTCAAATGCATGCGTGAACATAGTACATACAGCACATACTGCACAGTCACTGAAGGCAGGAGAAGTATAAATAATAAATATTGTTATTATCTGTACATTGTTCTCCTGCACTGATTTGTAATCCATCCATTATCTATACACCGCTTCATCCTCACTAGGGTTGTGGGGGAGCTGGAGTCTATCCCAGCTGATTTAGGGTGAAGGCAGGGGACACCCTGGACAGGTCACCAGTCTATCACAGGGCTACACTTAGAGACAGACAACCAAGCACACTCACATTCACACCTGCGGACAATTTAGAATCACCAATTAACCTCAACATGTTTTAGGACTGTGTGGGAAGAAGCCGGAGAACCCAGAGAGAACCCACACTGCACGGAGAGAACATGCAAACTCCACACAGAAAGATCCTGGTGTCCTCACTGGGACGCAAACCGGCGACCTTCTTGCTGTGAGGCAACGGTGCTAACCACTGCTAAACCCCTGAATATTGAAATGACAAATGGAATGAACAACAAGCACACTGTATTTGACTTTTGAATCCTTACAGCTTTACCAGTGAAGATATAAAAATCCTCATGGTAGCATCAGTCAGTAGTCTTGTCTTTAGTAGCAATAATGTGTAAAAATGTTAAGTTGACGCATAGTAATAAGATCGAGTAAAGCAATAGGAGCTACTGGTCCAGCAATGTGGGAATCAAATCCACAGAACAGCCAGTGGGTGGCACCAGAGGAAAGACTGTCCATACTGACACACTGTGACTCTGCTGGCATGGAAGTTTGACGGAGCCGAGATGCCAAATTAACCTTTCAGCTGAGTGTTTTAAATGGAAGAAATGTATTGATTTAAACAACTGGATCGATGTGCTCCGCCCAAGATGTGCATTATGAGAACTGATGATGGCTAATAGTGGGAAGGGTGGAGTGAAACTGGAGTCCAGACATTACAGGAGAGTGGACACACTGTTTAATCTTCCATTAGCATTATGCTATGTGAGGCAAAATGAAGATTTCGTCATTAGAGTACACTGAAGTGGGCAGGATTTTATTAGTTTTTTTTTCCTTCAATTTGAAATAAATAAATCATTTCAGTAACTGACTGTTTACAAAAACAGTTATTGCATGTGTTTAAATTTGTAGGTCTGGACGGTGTGAAAGGAAAACCGCTGGTACTGTGGGAAAGCAATGAATAAACAACATTAGATTGAATAATCAATAACACAGAGCATTGCAGAGAAGAATATGAAGTGAATACAGAGCGAGAGAGAAAAGAGAGCGGTTGCATCAATAACAGTAAAGAAAACTGAAGCTGTTCCAGGAATTTGACTGTCCTCCCACCACTGACTCACGGCCACGGTCAGATTTTTGTGCTCTATTTGTCAGTCAATTTTTTTTTGTTGTTTTCTTGCATCTAATATTAAATTGAGACACTAAAACGAAGGATAGGATGCGTCATCTGTCAGGCACGGTGTTCTCCAAACACGAGGAACTCAAAATATCTGCGATAACCATGACATACGACGTAGTTTAGCATGTTGAAGTGCTAAATGTCACATGCCACACATAACTGAAGCTCTGAGGAGGCACAGCTGAGCCTGACAGGTTGAGTCTGAGTTGACCCAAGGTGACCACAGTACCGAGGAATTTCTCTACTCTCCTGTTTCCACACTGCTAATCGAGATGTTTCTCCATTTTTTCAAATCCATCCAGCAACTTCTTAGTGTGTTTTGACCCTGACTGGTTCACACAGCTATTATTTAGCTCATATTTTTATTTCATTTTTCAGCTAACATGCAGTCAAAACATAACAGCATGAAGGACTTTTTGCACGTGTAGAAAATTTGTACAATTTACAACAAACATGGCAGTGCCTGCAGCTTTATGCCTCCAGCTTCGATCTTCGAGCAATAAATTCAAACCCAAAACATGTATCAGTGCTTACTTTGTTAAACAGTCTAGCACCTTTATATAGCCCTGTAACTATTTCAAATTAAAATGTATTAAGAGGCTGGAATGCAATAAACATGAGAAACTCTTCAGCTGATAGGAAAGATGGAATTCTCCACACATGCTGCATTAAAAAGTTAGTCGTTGTTACAGGAAAGTATAAAGCGAAACTAGACCAAGTCAGTGAGGCTGGAGCGAAGAGAGGCTGAGGCATCTGTCATGGTGAGGAACTCAACCCAGTTCTGATAGAAGCCACGTGAAAACTCTCCCGTGTCGACCACGAGTCCCCACAGGCGGCTCTGGCCCGTTTTGTTCCTCAGAGCCAGCTGAGCCTCTCGCTCCGTCACATTGAAGCTGATGTTCAGGACTTGTGTCACCAACAGGTAAAGCAGTCCACCTGTGACGATGCTGCTGTACCAAGCGCAGGTGAAGCAAAGCGCCGTGCTGTAAAGAGAGAGGAAACGTCACTGTAACAGATTGTAGCGTTTGAAATGCATTTACAAGTACAATGTTTTATTTCCTAATGCTGGTTGGTTAACCAGTACAGTTAGTTTACATTAAATATGACACAATTTGAAGAAAAAATAAAGAATTCACCTTCTTTTTCTTTTGATTTTGTGGTCAAAATAAACAGAATATATATAATAAGAATAAGAAATATGTAAATTAACATTAGTAAACTGGAACGGCATGTTTTCACTACCTGCCAGCTGTTTTAAATGCTCTCATTTAATTCTGAAATCATAATGACATGAAATATTGACAGCTTCCAGGAACAGTTATGAGTTCAAAATAATAAGAAGGACAAAATTCTACTTTTTCTTCTTTTTGTCTCGCAAATGCTATTGATGATTTTCACTCATATTCATTAGAAAATGTGTCATACTTATTCACTGACAGCACATTTATATTTAGATTCTACAATGTTGACTTCTAATCTGCTCTTATGTTTCTTTCTATAGTCACCTGCAGACAGTAGATTTAAAGAGAGCTGCATGTACCTGGACTGAGAGTAGACTCCGGGGCAGTAGAAGAGAGCCGTCATTAGATACTGTCGAGGACAGAGGCTGCAAAGCACCAAACTGATCCCGTACACAGAGGTCAACAGGAATACACAGAGGGTCAGCAGAAAACTGCGATGGTTGGCCTGTCCGACACAGCTGTTAATCCTACAACACCTCAACACAGAACACACATAAACAATGCACCAGTCAGAGCAGGTTAAAGCAGCAACACTCATAGTCTGACTACACACTGCTGCATGTAAAATGATGCATGTGCTATACTTTGCTGAAAGTAGTTTAAGAGCAGACTCCTTGGCTTTTGTTTTCATCTCAGTAATGTATTCTGCAGTAGAAAGAAAAGTCATACTATAGCATGTCGTTTTTGTCAAAAAAGGTCACGTTTCAGAATGTCGTCAAAACGTGTCAGGATGTAGTATATAGTGGAAATAGTG